AATCTATAAAAAAGACCAAAGACAACAGTCACTAACGGCCAACCCGAGATAGAACGAATCCAAAACCCACCCCTCCCGACCCTCTTCTCCAAGACACGAGGGACCAACACCATCCATTCTGGTTTGTGAGTTGCCATGTCTTTTTTGAAAGTACGAATTGACGAGTAGACAACGCTGCAACCTCTCGATGCCATCCACAATTCAAAGGTACGCTCTGTGATATGCCAAACGGGAAGCAATGAAACCATCTTGTCTCCAGGAAAACAGTTCCGCTCTTCTTCTTCAGAAGGACTCATCGAATGCGTGACTGATGAATCAAAGTTTCCAGAAAAGCATAACACCCTTGGGTCGTCCAGTGGTGCCCGAAGTGTACACTGTGGGCAGGGGCAAGCAATGAGGCAGTTTGTTAAAATACCGGTACGGATGGGATTGAAAACAATGAGTGAAAATCATTCAATTCAATTCAGCACTGTGGGAACCTTACCAATGGTTGCAATGTCACTGTGTCCAAGAGAAGGGCGACGACTGGGGTCAAGGGGAGAGGCTGCGTCTAGCAAATCACCAAAAACCTTGATTTCCACACCCGCTTCTGCCGCAAGCTTGGCAATGTCTTCGTCGGACTTTTTCTCTCGGTGCATGAGAAGAATCGTCTTGACTGGGCCATAAGAGTCATTTTGCAGTCCTAGGTTCTCCAGTCCGGTTGCCTTGGCATGTTTGATGAGTTTCTGCAAGAGCCGTGGTCCCTGAACAACAGCTACCCCGGCACTGTCCGAATGTTCATAAATGTAGAGCAATTCGTCAATGGGAGCATCCGCACCGCGGACCGCCGAAGCTCCTCCTGCCATTTGAATTCCGTGGTCTACCATGAGCCATCGAGCCGAGTTTTCTCCCAGAACAGCCACGTTTTTTCCTTTTTGAATGCCCAAGTCGGCAAACACAGTGGCACTCTTTTGGACCACAGTGTTCATCTGGCTAAAGTTGAGGTCGATCTTTTCGTCGCACATATGTTCATCCAGCAAGGCACGGCGCTCAGGGCATAGATCGGCAAGTTGGGCCCAGAGTTCAGGACAGTTGGTCAAGGTGTCTCGGACGGTTCGAAGCTTGTTGATGAGTGGGTCGGAGGCATAATCGAGTGAATTGAGCTGCACAGAATTGTCAGGTTGTCCGCCTGCGGAACGGTTCATTCGTTGGGACGGATAGTCAAAGTTGCTGGAGCTCTGTCCACCAAATAGCACGGCTTCATCTTCCGACGTCATCGCAGACGCCTTGGCTGTTTCTGTTTCCGTATCCTTTCAAACAAGAGAAGAATCAATCGAAAGGGAAAAGAACAGATCAGATTCCCGCAAAGGAATTGCCATTCATTGACAGATAACGCAAACGGGAGCCGGGCACTTACATCTTTCACTGGGGTTGATTTGACTACAAACGCCGTCGGCTTTGTTTGAGGGGCCAAGTGGCCTGGAACAAAACTTTGTACCTCACAGAACAAGGTGCTGATGAGCCCCACAAGGGCCAAAGAAGAAATCCTCATGGTCTGAATAACTGACTATCGAATTAATTTCTCAAAGAATTTCCGTGGGAATGGTGTGGTTTACCAATATCTCATGGAAAATAATGTAACAACAAGGAAAGGCAATTGACTGATGAATCAATCAATCCCAACATACGTTGATGCGATTATTCGTCTTTCCTTGTGGCCAATCCAAGCAATCTATGTGGCATAATAGGTATTGCCGATGATGTACATGTGCGTGGAGGTAATGGGAAACACGCAGATTCTTTGACACGCAACTTCAATGATGTGCATCATCTTCTCTGCTTCCAATTGTTAACAAGAATGAAGCTTACCCTTGACCCTAGGCCTAGGCAGAGCCGGTTTTCTTCTATTTGGGTAGGTACCATGTACCCGTAAAAGTGATTAGTTGAGGGGCTCACAGAAGGAGAAGGAGGAGGGTTAACTAGTCTGGACAAAGGCATCTAGTTGCACATGTTTTTTGAGTTGTGGTACCGTAAAAGTGATTAGTTGAAGGGGCTCCAGAGGGGAGAAGGAGGAGGGTTAAGCTAGTCTGGACAAAGGCATCTAGTTGCACATGTTTCTTGAGTTGTGGTACCCGTAAAAGTGATTAATTGAAGGGGCTCCAAGGGGATTATTACATACAGTACTACTAGCTAGTAGGTACGTACGTACTCTTTCGAAGTATCTTAAAACAAGGGTGGGAGCAAAAAACGTTATCTTAAAGCTGAGTGTGCTGCGTTCGAATAGCGCGCGCGTTGTGCGCGTCGATGACTTCAGTCACGCGCGTGGCTGCTGTGACGTCAGTCATGGTTTGTGTAGGCTTGTACCACCGCTCCGTATGTAGTGCTTGTAGTAGCCGTGTAGAATCGGCCCTACCACACGACTCATACGTATTTGTAGCGTACCGCCTGTAGGATCTGTAATCACACGCTACACAGAAGGTAAGTATATGTACTGTATTTGCTATAGTAAACATGACTAATTGGTCCTCCTTCTCGTGGCTGTGGTACTCCGTAAAAGTGATTAGTTGAAAAGGGCGCCTCCAGAGGGAGCAAGGAGGAGGGTTAAGCTAGTCTGGACAAAGGCATCTAGTTGCACATGTTTTGAGTTGTGGTACCCGTAAAAGTGTTTAGTTGAAGGGGCTCCAGAGGGGAGAAGGAGGAGGTTAAGCTATCTGGACAAGGCATCTAGTTGCACAATTTTTGAGTTGTGGTACCGTAAAAGTGATAAGTTGAAGGGGCTACAGAGGGAGAAGGAGGAGGGTTAACCTAGTCTGGACAAAGGCATCTAGTTGCAATGTTTTTGAGTTGTGGTACCTTAAAAGTGATTAGTTGAGGGGGCTCCAGAGGGGAGAAGGAGGAGGGTTAGGCTAGTCTGGACAAGAGCATCTAGTTTCACATGTTTTGAGTTGTGGTACCGAAAGTGTTAGTTGAAGGGGTTCCAGAGGGGAGAAGGAGGAGGGTTAAGCTAGTCTGGACAAAGGCATCTAGTGGACATCGTTTTTGAGTTGTGGTACACCGTAAAAGTGATTAGTTGAAGGGCCCACGACGGGGAGAAGGAGGAGGGTTAAGCTGTCGGACAAAGGCAGGCATCTAGTTGCACATGTTTTGAGTTGTGGTACCCGTAAAAGTGATTAGTTGAAGGGGCTCCAGACGGGATTCTGTACAAGTACATGTAGGTACGGTTATACATGTACATGTATGTACGGTACGTACCTTTTCGAAGTATCTTAAAACAAGGGTAAAAATTAAAATTGTGTTATCTTAACAATAGGTGTGATGCGATTCGATTCGCGCTCACCTTGCGCGTTTCTACGGCACAACCTACGGCATGTACGTACGTATTGTGCCGTAGCCGTGCGGTAGCTGTGTAGGATTTGTACCGCACGCTACAGAGGTAGTATAGTACTGTATTTTCTATAGTAAACATGACTAATCGGTCCTCTGTCTTCGTGGTACGGTACCCGTAAAAGTGGTTAGTTGAAGGGGCTCCAGAGGAGAGAAGGAGGAGGGTTAAGCTAGTTAAGACGCAAGATATAGATGCCATAAACCAATGTATCTCTATAGTCCATAGTGCTTCTTTAGTCTATCCCTTAGGACAGGAGCAGACCCACGTTGGGTTAGATTCATGTTCTTGAGACGTTCCCTAAGGTCTTGTCGGGTCATGGCTTGGATCTGTTGCCATGTGGGTACAGGTGCAACCCTGCCACCGGCTATAGCAGCAGCCCGAGCTTGAATCTGTTGTTGCATGACAGGCCTTGCAGCTTGTTTAAGGCATGCTTTCACTGTGCCTTCCCTGATCATTCCTCCATAGCCAGCACTGTCTCCCTTATTGATTGCATCAAGGTGCCACAGATTGAATTGTAGAGTCACTTGCTGGTTAATAATGTCAAGTGAAGGTGGATTGCTGGGATTAGTAGCGGATAGCACTCGTCTGTATGCCGCAAGGACATAGGTTCTCTGAGCTGGAGTCAGTGGCTCAGACAGATAGGTATTGTGAACTGTGATTGCACCGAAGAGAGCTTTTCTGGCCCCATATCTCTCAGAGCCAAAGCCTGGGTTGATTGGTTTGGGTTTTTTCCCAGGAGGTGTGTTTCTTTCAGCCACTCTTTTTGAGAATGTAGCTTGAGTAGTGGCAAACGTGTGAGCCACCTCCATCTGTTGTTGTGGCTGCTGTGGCTGCTGAGGGGGTGGTGATGCCTCAATTGATGGTGAATCCTCATTCCCTAGTTGGTCAAAAGACTCAAACAAAGCATCAGGGATGTCTTCATCCTCAATATCACCATAGAGATGATCATCTTCCATAGGTTCTACATCTTGTTGTGTAGTAGCAGAAGGAGCCAAGCTTTGAATCATGCTGTCAATCTTCTCCCACTCTTCGTACAATTGGTACAGCTCGCCAATGGGCTCCATGTGAGCCTCCAAATCCACTTGAGGAGGGTACAATATACCATCATCGTACATAGTTGTTGTCAAGTTGGTAAGATCTTTTTGCAAGGCTTCTTTAACAAACCAATCACGTGGCCTAACAGCTCTGCCAGTGATGTGACTGGTGTTTCTGTCACACTTGAGGTTGTGATCGCTCACATGTAGTAAATACTTCTTGTGAGTAAGGGAAGATCTCTGCCTGGAGACTCCACCCGTGGCATCTTGTTCTCCATATCTATTTTCAGTCTCGACTGCATTGGTTCCTCGCCGACGCCTAAGCAAGGGAGGACCTCCATCGGAATGATCCTTATTACTGGCTCTGTAGCTCATTTCTTTGGGCTGCAAAGGATCACTCAAGCAGCCTTTCTTGATATGATCCATGAGATTTTGCACAGCAGCCTCTGCGCCATATTGATGATTTCTGATCGCTTTCTTAAAGAAAGGCCTGTAGCCTTCCCCATTGAGCTGTGCTTGGAGTTTTTGTTTCGTGTCTAGGTCCTTGGTACCTTGATATAGATCCCAAACATCAGAAGCCATCTTATAGGTGTTGCTTGGAATGTAGTTGTAGATTGCATCTCTGTATCTTGAAAGCTTAGACATTGCCTCTTGTGCTGTTTCTCTATTGCGGTATTTCTCTCCATCAGGATTAGAAGTTCTGAAGTGTTCCAGAGCCTTTGATGTTGAGTCAAAGTCCCATTTCAAGATGGCATTCCAGAGTCCCCTGACAAAGGCATCATGAAGGGGATGGTCTGCCCCTGTAGTTTCACGCTTGACAACATCAATAGCATGCCAAACATCCTTGAGGAAGGCTCTCTTGCATTTGGGAAAGATTCTGGGCAGGAAATGATCTGCTGGGTCAGAGTTGTTGCAGCACAAGTCATCATAGCCAGCAATGACCTTGTCAATGGCAGATTGACCTCCTAGTCTCTCATATCTCTGCCTTAAGAAAAACAGAAGACGTTCCTTTACCTTGTGATTCTCTGAGTCTGCAAAGGCATAGATGAGGATATGATTGTATTCACCAAGAACTTTTACCATGACATTGTTGGCAGATTCAGCATCTGGAAGTTCCATTGTCTTCCTCATGATCCTATAGGTTCCATCGACTCTAACAATACGGCCACCATCTCTGCTTAAGAGATCTCTAAGCAGAAAAGGTTCAACTCGGTCATATAGCTCTTGCACTACGCTAAAAGCTAGTGTAAAGATCTTTCGAGTGTTTTGAGTTTGAGAGAAAGAAAGTTATGAGAGAGATTAGAAAGCTATGAAAACTAATCAACGAGAGAGATCATCATCAAAGGATCGTAGATCTGGCTTCCCGCGGGAGACTATAAAGTGTGATAGAGTAGGTTGTGGTGGTAATCCTACGTCTCTCCACGATCCTAAACGGAACGCGTGGAAGGTTTGTCTAGCCTGGTCTAGTAGCGTGGAAGTACTCCAGCTGGCTAAATATCTAGAGCGATGTTTCATCATCAACCTAGTATGACTAGCGCGGTCATTGAGAACCCTGTCTCAAATGACTATTCACGAGAGACTCGGTCATGAGTCGAACTCAAACCCTATCTAGGATCGAGTCGCGAATAAGGCTAGAGAGCGTGTATTGCATTTGTCTCAAATGACTATTCACGAGAACTCGTCATGAGTCGAACTCAAACCCTATCTAGGATGAGTCGCGAATAAGGCTAAGAGCCGTGTATTGCATTTCGCCCCCTGACAAGGGTCACAGAAGGCGCGACAGCAGTCGGACAAGGAGAACATATGATTAAAGTGCGGGCACTCTCATGAGATTTGGAGTAGACATGTGCTTCACACGATGGCAATCCTACAAGGGATCAGGCCTTGTATGGGTGTATATACTTTATGTTCCAAGTCTGGTAGACTGCCGCCGTTGGCGGTAGCATGTTGGAGCGTACAGTGCATTGTCATTGACTCGGTCTATAGTGTAAGGACCTTTGTACTTTGGCTGACCGTACTTGCGGTGCTGATACTGTTGAATCATCACAGTATCGTTGACATTGTATTGATGAGGGACACGCGTTGCGTTTTCCTATCGTTGTTTGTTGGATTAGTCGTTGGCGACGTTCCTTAATGTATTTCCAGTTGGCTTCGAACCGGACGTTGTGAATCGCGTCCGATTGAACACGAGCTGTGCGGGCTGCTACGCAAGGTGTATGAATCGTGGCATTCATTGCAAAGCGAACCGCCGTGAGGACTCCATCCCAGGATCATTCACGAGGTCGTCTTGGACTTGATGTTTTGAACAGCGATCAAGTTACGTATGGTTGATGAGCACGCTCGACATAGAGTTGGCTTGAGGGTTACGCGTGGTGATGAACTTGCGAAGTCCATATTCATCCCGGAGTGTCTTTTCGACCTCTGCGCGGACTCACGTCCTCTATCCATGATAACTCAGCAGGCCATGGATACAGTAAGCCACGTTGTTCTAGGACGATGGCTACTTCGTCTGCTGCCTTGGAGCAGATCTCTGCAATCTCGAACATCCGGTTACGGGATCAATCATTGTCAGCAATGAAGTGTGCAGGATCCTTTTTCTTGGATCCCCGACGTTGTAAGGCCTATCAGGTCAATACATAGTCTTTCCCAAGGGATCTCCTCGCAAGTCTTGGAGGCACAATCCCAGCTTACGCGTCTTGGGTTTGTTCATCTGGCAGCTTTTGGCAACGCTGACATACGGCCTGCACAGTCCTGCGAGCTTCCTTTAGGTGTATGTGGCTGATGGTTAGTTCTGTGCGAGTCTCGCAGGATGCATCAGCACAACCTGGTACCATTCAACTAGCTTCTTCTGCATAGTTTAGGTACGACGATTTTCTCGTCCTTGACTACTAAGTCTAGGACTATCCCTCTGGGGAAAGATTGCTTTTGTTAGTCGTTTGGCTTGTCCTGGGGTTCTGATATCGTCGTCGTCTTTCTGACGATGTTCGATCTCGGGGAACGAGAGAGGGACTCACTAGGGAAGTCCTCTCGTCTGCAGCCATGAGTCAGCGATCTCGCTGGCGTCCATTGTTCTGAAGAACCGTTTGTTGGAGATGTTAATCTCGAACAACGCATCGCGACGATGTTGTTCGCCCTTGATGTACCGTAGTTCAGGGCGTATTCTTCCAGAATAAGGCCCCATCGCATTACGCGATCGGTATTGAAGTTCTTACACGTAAGATTTTTGTGGTCCTATGTACACAATCTTCTGTCCTAGAAAAATGTTACGGAACTCTTTGAGGTTTCTACGATACTGAGAAGTTCCTTCTCGGTAACTGTGTAACGTGTCTGAGCAGGGTTGAGTCTTCCTGCTGTAGAACGCGATTGTTTCCCCTTCTGGGAAATTACTGCACTAGTTGAGTATCACTGCACCGTGTGGATACGAATGTATCGTTGAAGTCAGGTAGGCGAGCAAGGTTTTTTTTGCTGATGATCTTCTTCATCGGCTAAGGCCTTGTCGTGTTCGGTTCCCATTTCCACTTCGTTTGTTTGGAAGTCAACGAAGCGGTGGGGCTAGTACATGTGATCGTCTATCCACATGTCTCGATATAGTTCACTAGTCCAATGAATCTACGGAGTTCTCTTCTGTTGGTAGGAGGAGCGATATTCTTGATGCGTCTATTTTCTTGGTTTAGGTTTGATCCCTTCTCGAGTGATTCAGTAACTAGGTACTCAATTCTCCTCTTGCGAGAAGGACTTGGTAGCATTGGATCTTGAGTCCGGCTTCCGAAGCCTTCTGAGAACTTCATCCAACTTTTCAACGTGATTGCTAGATCGCCGTTAGTTTGGATGAGTAGATCATCAAATGTATGCACGGACGTATCTAGTCGTGCATTAGTGTTCCCATCTTCTTTTGGAAGATGTCGGGATATACATAGGCCCATTGGCAACTCTGGTACTCGTACTTCCCCACGGGAGACGATGGTACAGAGAGTTGTTTCGAGTGAGGTGACAGCTCGATGTGATAGTATCCATGTTAGGTCTAGACTAATAGCGTACTTGAATCCGTCTAGATTCATGAGCATTCTGTTTTTTGGGGATAGGATAAGGCTCGCTTAATCCTTTTGTTCATGTCCCGGAAAAGAGATGAATCGTACAGATCCGTCTTTCTTTGGGAATGATGAAAGTTGTGTCCGCCCACTCGAACGGTTTATCCTTCTTGAGTACTCCTGCCTCGCGAGACGTTCAACCTCCATTTTTAAGAGTGTTGGTAGGGACCGTGGAATAGGGTAGGCCTTGCTGATAGGGTTTAGCTTCAGTGAGAAGTTCTACTTCTATTCGTCCATCTGCCACTTCCCAAAGTACCATCGAATAGGTCAGTTACTTCGTCAGTAAGGAGTAAGCTGTTCCTTCTCTCTCCGTTTTAACTGATCTTGACTTGGGCAAACCTGCCTTAAGTCAGCTGTTCGTATTTCGCATCAAGATCTTCTTAGACGATCTGCACTAGTCATCAGACAGCGGTAGGATACAGGAATGAAAAGTTTTCTTCTTCATTGGTGTCGCTATCTTTCATAGGAATAGAGATGCCGTCCCACTCCACTAACATGGTAGTGAAAACGAACTTAAATCCTAAGTAAGAGAGAATAACTCGACCTATTATCATGTAATACGCCCCCAACCTCTT